TACATTTCCCTAATTGGTCTGGTTTACCAAAAAGGGGATGTTACATCTAGATTCTCTTCTAAAATTCTTTCTCCTTTCATAAGTGGAAATGTACTTCTATTCATACTGATGGATGGAAATAGTATAATGACTATTGACCAACCCTAAGTGGTTTCAGGCTGCCCAGATTGCTGTTAGAGAGTATATCATCAGCACATTTTCACATCTTCTACAAGATATATCAGGTTCTTTCTATTGTCGCTGTCACCCAAAATTTGTTTTTGTTCTTTTGGAGCTTCAAATACCCAAAAATAGCAACAATGGGACATATTGGGTTTCAGAGTATTCCTTCTGTGGTCAAGAATCTGGTTAGGCTTTAAATTAAGGAGAAATCGTTTTACAGTGAGATGCACCCTTAATATGACTAGGAAAGTACCATAATCAGAACGACAATTGCTAAATTGATTAATTACTAGGCTCTAAAGTATATGCTTTCCACACATTTTAAGATAGGTTTGCTAGAATTAAGAGAGATCCTAGTAACATTTTGAACTCAGCAATTAAGATGGTAATTCTCTGGATTTGAGGAAATAAATTCGTTTGCAAAATAACAATGCCGACTTTAATGAATTCTGCAATTTGATTTCAAAGGACTACTGTAATCCTTATTGATATAGAACTACATCATAAGACAGATGGTAACAGTCACCTATGGATCAAGAATGAAAAACCCTATTTCTGTTTAAATGTTACTTTCAGTAACTTGTAGAAGCAACAACCTTCATGATTTGTGACAGCGGGGTGAATTAGATTCATTGATAATAATAAAGGGTATAGTATGAAAGTGAGACAAGAAAACTCTAATTTTCGTCATAAAAAAATATATACGCTCTCCTGAGTTCTTATACTCGGACTCCTAGTCACTTGCAATTCTTTATCCCTTGGATGCCAAACATAACAAAACTGCAAGAAAGCCCAGCCCATAACATAGAGTCACATATGAATATTGACATTCATAGCTGCCTTGTTACTGCTTTCATTTACATGTTAAGTTGAGAGTTCCTTAGGAAAAGGATAGTAGCAGTGAGAGATATACCATAGACATGCATTGATATTATCGATTTGATGGCTTCTGACTTCACTTACATTAATCCAACTAAAATGGGCTTACATGTCTGGCCACATATGTTGCAGATGCTGTTATGAAGGTCAATAGTAGACAAAAAGACGAAGTGGAAGAGTACTCATTGCAAGCTGCCCTGGAAGGAAGCAAAAAAGTGGTGCTTCAAGGCAGCATGGATGTATTACTGGTAATTCATGAGATGCAGAGAGACTCTTTTTGCATGCATGATGCATGAAGAAACAGTCCAGGGCTTCATAACCTGTGTGGTTTTTTGGGCCTGGTCCAGTTCTCATGTTTTCTTAATCTTTCTCTTGTATTTGGATACACATGAGTGGAGTAGTTTAGTTATCATTTTCCTGGGGTTCTTTGACTAAAATTTTGTGTTTCAATTGTCAGGAAATAGCAGCTTCCTTTTCTGGTGGTGGTGTTCGAGGCTATGAAAATGGTCCTGCTTTTGTTCCTGGAGTGATATGTCGAATATTTGGCTCAGCTGGTGAAAAGCTTCTGCATCATGTAAGAATCAAAATTTTTGTTGAGTTTACTAAATATGTTCTTAGACTGGAACTGTTGATGAAATAGTTATGTGAATATCTCATAATTTCCATCTTCTGGAATTGGATCAATTTCAAGATATCTATTTTAAATAAAGCCAGATAAATGATGATTATTTATTTATTTATTTATTTCTATCATGCTGCTGATAAAAAAATGATAAAAAAAAAATTCTTCTATTATGCAGTATATTAAAGTGAGAACTCAGAGGATATCTATTCTTCTGAGAAAGAGGTTTACAACACCAAACTGGATTAAGGTTTGTCTGCTGCAGGGCAATGTCCTCAAATTTTAAAAGTGGTGCCCCCATGAAAATAGTTGACATTTGACTTTATTTTGTACATATCTCAATTTCTTGCAGCATAAGGAGCCCCAGGAAGTTCATATGTTCGTTGATCTATTTCTTCAAGAGGTTTTGTGCCATTGACTTTTCTCATTGAGGATGAGATTATTGTTCCCTCTATTTGGTATTAAAAATTCTAGATATTTAATACCTATTCTACATTGTTTGATTTATGTACAAGAAGTGAGAAGCATGACTTCATTTACTCCACTTTGTGATTGTTGGAAGCAATTGGAAATGAGGTAAAGCAAATTTTACCCCAAGGATACCTCCGTAAGCATAGGTGTTCTGACAGCAATGGAAACACAACATCATCTCGCAGCAATCCACTACGAGATGATAAAATGAGTAGGTCAAACACCCAAGGAGCAAGGAGCCAGCTTTTAGAAACACATCTTGCAAAACTGTTTAAGCAGAAGGTTGAAATATTTACCAAAGTTGAATTTACACAGGTAATGAGATTATGAATGCTCAATTTTTCTGGTGGAGAAATAGCAAATATACTGCAGCAATATTGAAATGAAATGAACTGACTTTGCTTTTTACTTGCAGGAATATGTTGTGACAACTATTGTAAAACTTTGCCTGAAAAGCTTGCAACAATTTGTTCGACTTCAGACCATTAATCGAAGTGGATTTCAGCAAATTCAGTTGGATATTCAATTCTTAAGGACACCTTTGAAGGAAACTGCTGAAGATGAGGCAGCCATTGACTTTTTACTTGATGAAGTAATAAAAACTAGCCTACTTATTAGTTTTCATCTTCCCACTCCATCTAGAATTGCTCCTGTTTTATTTACGTTTTTGCTACTTGAGTAGAAAGAACTGAAGTTGTGTCACTTTTTTGTTGGATAGGTGATTGTTGCCGCTTCAGAGCGTTGTCTTGACCCTATTCCTTTGGAGCCTCCTATTTTGGACAAACTTATCCAAGCTAAATTAGCAAAATCAAAGTAGCAGAATATGGCGCTCCCATGAACATTGAAAGATGAAATTAGTCATTTGACTCTGCATTATTATTCTGTTTCTTGGACAATATTTTCCAGATGATCTCATCGGACCTCCAAGATGAAATTAATTCTCAGACTTCATCCGAGACCCGAGCTAACCCTACCACTCACATCCAAATCCGCGGTGCGAATTCTGTTTAATCAGATGATTATTTTCATAATAATTGATTCAGAATACTGTTACAAATTTGTTATGGCTCTGCTGGTCATTTCATGGAACTTCACAATGTAGAGAACTTTAGTTGCGTTTGTTATGGAATAAAATGGTATCTCTTTTTCTGTACTAACCTTTGATATCCAAAAATTACATTAAATTTTAATTAATTTAAAGTTAAATCATATCAAATCTTATAAAAAAAAAATTTCTCAATGTTTTTTTATTCATTAACAAGAATTAAATTAGAGATGCTATTTAAAAAGAGTTAAATTTTTTTTTAGTTGGATCAATAGGTTCGTTGGTGGAATGTAATCACATTACATGATGGTTAATGCAATAATTATAATCCTGTATTTCCGTTAACATTAAGGACTCTTTTTAGTTGGAACTGTTATGAGTGTTCCTTTTGAGTTAGCTTTGTGCCCATCTTGACTCCCAGCAATTTTTAAGGATGCATCTTTCACATCATTTTGGCACATTTAATAAATTTTTTTAGTGTTAATTTAAAACTTAAATTTGAACCTAATACAAAAAATAATGTTTATTTACCAATAAACCTAACTCTTTAATATTAAGAGTTAATTAAGGGGTTGGTAAAGTCGAACTAAAAATTTTATGGCTGAACATCTTCAATCATGG